AAGTCTCAGTATATTTGTAAGGATTGAAATCATACAAAGTATGTTCTCTGAGCCCAACAAAATTAAATTAGAAATCAATAATGGAAGGACATTTGGAAAATCCCAACAATATTTGAAAATTAAATGTTTCTAAATAACCCGTAGGTAAAAAAAAAAAAATCACTAGAGACATTAGAATGTATTTCGAACTGAATTAAAAGGCAAACAACACATCACAATTTATGAGATGCACCTAAAGCTCAGGAAAATTTATACACCTCTATGTCTCTATTAGAAAATAAGAACAATCTCAAAATCAATAACCCAAATTTCTTCCTTAAAAAATCTAGAAATACAAGAGTAAATCAAGCTAAAAAAAAAAAAAAAAGAGTAAATCAAACTCAAACCAAGCAGAAGGAAGGAAATAATAAAGATTAGAGAAGAAATAAATGAGAAAGAAAACAAACAACAACAATAAAGAGACAGTCAATAAAACTAAAATTTGATTCTTTTAAATCTTTTTTTTTTTTAAAGATTTTATTTATTTATTTGAGAGAGAGAGAATGAGAGACAGAGAGCATGAGAGGGAGGAGGGTCAGAGGGAGAAGCAGACTCCCTGCCGAGCAGGGAGCCCGATGCGGGACTCGATCCCGGGACTCGAGGATCATGACCTGAGCCGAAGGCAGTCGCTTAACCAACTGAGCCACCCAGGCGCCCTAAAATTTGATTCTTTTAGAAAATCAACAAAATTGACAAACTTTTAGCTAGACTGACCAAGAAAAAATAGAGATGATACAGATTACTAAAACCAGTAGAGAAAGATGGAACATAACCACTCACACTACAGGGATAAAAGGATCATACACAAATATGATGGAAAGCATTATGGTAACAAATTAGATAACCTAGGTGAAATGTACAAATTCCTAGAAAGACACAACTACCAAAACTGACTCAAGAAGAGACAGAAAGGGGTGCCTGGGTGGCTCAGCTGGTTAAGTGTCTGCCTTCAGCTCAGGTCGTAATCTCAGGGTCCTGAATCCAGCTCCCTGCTCAGCAGGGAGTCTGCTTCTCCCTCTCTATCTGTCCCTCCCCCCTGCTCGTGCACATGCCCCCTCTCTCTCAAATAAATAGTAAAAAATAAAATATTTATTTATTTATTTTTAATAAAAAAATTTTTTTAAAAGAAGAGACAGAAAATCTGAATAGATCTGTAACAGGTAAAGAGATTGAATTAGTAAAAACAAAAAACAAAAAATAGAAACAAAAACAAAAAAACCACAACCTCCCACAAAGAAAAACCTGTCCAAATGCTTTCACTGGGAAATTCTATTAAACATGTTTTTTTAAGTTGTTTTTTTTTTAAGTAGTCTCTACCTGATGTGGGACTCGAACTCACGACCCTGAGATCAAGAGTCACAGGCTCTTCTGACTGAGCTAGCTAGGTGCCCCTCTATCAAACATTTAAAGAAGAATTAATACCAATCCTTCACAAACTCTTCTAAAAAATGGAAGGGGGTGGGGGGGTGGATATTTCCCTTTCATTCTGAGTCTGGCATAACCTTGATACCAGAGTCAGATAAAGACATAACAAGTACAGTACAGACCAATATCTGTCATGAAGGTAGACAAAAAAATTCACAACCAAATATTAGCAAACCAAATCTAGCACCATGGCCAACTGAGTTTATCCCAGGAATGTAAGGTTGGTTTAACATCCAAAAACCAATCAATGTAACACATCATACTAATAGAATAAAGGGGGAAATTGTGATTATTTCAGTAAACATAGCAAAGGCATTTGGCAAAATCCAGAATCCACTATGAATTTTTAAAAACCAACAAAAACATACTCTCAACTAACTAAAAAAAAGAGAATGATCTGATAACAAGAGTCTACAAAAAACCTACACCTAACATACCTAATGGTGAAAGGTTGATTATGTTCCCCAGTAAGATAGGGAATAAGACAAGGATATCTTTTCTCACCACTTCTGTTCAAGATTTAACTGGAGATTCTAGTCACTGCAATCAGGCAACAACAACAAAAAATAAATAAATAAATGTCAGTCGGATTGGAAGTGAAGAAATAAACTGTCTTTATTTGTAAATGATATAACCTTATACATAGAAAACCTTAACAAATCCACAAAAAGCATTATTAGAACTAATAATGAATCTATTATGGTTATAGGATATAAGATCAATATACAAAAATCAAATGTATTTCTACATATTAACAATGAACATCTAAAAGTGAATGATGCCATATACTAGGACTTCAAAAAGAATAAAAATATTTAGGAAAAATTAACAAAAGAAATGCAAGTCTTGTACACTAAACACTACAGAATGTTTCAGAGAAAAATTAAAGATCTAAATAAATGGAGAAATATCCCATATTGACTCTAGCAATCACTAAAAAGAGGCCAAACAACTCAATTAAAAAATGAATAGAAGAGTAGATATTTCACTAAAGGATTTATACAAATGACTAATACACTCACGAAAAGGTGTTCAACATCATGAACCATTAGGGAAATGTAAATTAAAACCACAGCGAGATACTACTACATGCTAACTAGAATGGCTATGAAAAAGACAGCCCGTACCAAGTGTTAGTGAGGTTGTGGAGAAAGGGGAATCCACACATTGCTGGTGGAATGTAAAATGGTGCAGCCCCTTTGGAAGACAGTTTGGCAGTTACTTAAAAAATTAAACAGATTTACCGTATGATCCAATAATTCTACTCCTAGTGATTGCCAAAGAGAACAGAAGGCATCTGTCCACACAAAGACTAGCATGTGAATGTTCATAGTGGCGTCGTCATTCAGAATAGCCAACAAGTGGAAACAAATCAAACGTTGATCAGCAGGTGAATGGGTAAATACAATGTTCATATCCATACAATGGAATCCTATTCAGCAGTTAAAAGGAACTAGCTACTAATATATACAACAGAGAGACTATATATTGTATGATTCCATTTACATGAAATGGTTAGAAAAGGCAACTTTATAGAGACAATAAGCAGATCTGTGATTGTTTAGGGCTGGGGATGGCAGTGGGGATTCACTATAAATGGACACAAGGGAACTTTTTAGGGTGATGGAAATATCCTAGAACTGAATTGTGTTTGTTGCACTGGTCAGTACATTTACTAAAAATCATTAAATTGTACTGTTAAAATAGGTGAATTTTATGTTATGTGAATTACACCTCAATAAAGTGTTTAAAAATAAAGAAATTCAATAACTTGTCACTTTTTAACATATTAATAGAAACCATTCCAACGATAAGGATGATACTGAGCCTTTGTTCGGTGCCAGTCACTGCTCTAAGCACTCTACTCAATCCTCACAACAGCCTCTTATTTCGTAGACAGAAATTGATACTATAATCCCATTTGCAAATGAGGAAACTGATGCCCAGAGGAGTTAAGTATCTTGTTCAAGTTTGTGCAGCAGATAAATAGGTGAGCCAGGGTTCATATCTAAGCAATTGGTCTAGTAAACATGCTCTCACCTCTCTGCTAATATAAATCAAATTTTATGATATTTTTAAAGATCTAATGAAGCAGCATCATTGCAAATTTCTCCTCTTGAAGTTGTAAAAATATACAGTATACCAAATTTGATAGTACAAAGCAGGGGAGGAAATGTGTTATTTTTCCGTTTTAGGATAATAGTAAAAGTGCTTCATCAGTGACCTAGACACTAATGAAGAATGGCTTCCATTTTCTTTTCCTTCCACTTTTATGGCAGGAGGCAATATATATCCTGAAGAGATAATGGACTTTAGAATTGAAATCACTGAGATTTGCTCTCTGAATCTGCTACTTAAGTTATGTAACTTGTTTGGAGCCTCATTTTTCTTATCTATAAAGATAGATTTAATAATGCCTACACCAGGATTGTGTGTAGGAGACACGATATGAGTTAATGTATATAAAATCTTAGCATCATGCCTTGCTTCTGTAGACACTGAACAAGTGGGAGCTTTCTTTAGTCATCAGGCTCGGGTCTCCCCTTATACATTAGAACCAATCATGTCTTCTAGCCCAGGGCAGGGCAGTTCTCTTAAGACTTCTTAGCCAGATTAAACCTGAAATTTAGAGTTTATCCATGGCTTTATTTAGTTGGCTACTTGGTTATATGTGATCTAGCTTAGTATATTAAAATATAGGATGGGGCGCCTGGGTGGCTCAGTTGGTTAAGCGACTGCCTTCGGCTCAGGTCATGATCCTGGAGTCCCTGGATCGAGTCCCGCATCGGGCTCCCTGCTCGGCAGGGCGTCTGCTTCTCCCTCTGACCCTCCCCCCTCTCATGTGCTCTCTCTCATTCTCTCTCTCTCAAATAAATAAATAAAATCTTAAAAAAAAAAAGCTGTAAAAAAATATATATATAGGATGAAGAAGCTCCTCTTCTGCAGGCACACATCTTACCTAGAAATCTGACTTTAATAATCTTCTCCCATGCTGGACGCTAACCAGACTCCAACCCTGGTCTCTAAGAGATATTATTTCTCTGTTATCTCCTAGTACCTTTAAGGGGTAGATCAGAGCCTCCCTTAAGTGTGGCTATCATCAGAACACCTCCTCAGAGTTCTGATGGAGGGAAGAAAGGTGGCTAGGAACAGATCTTGTTCTCATGCTAAGTTTTGTGGATGCCTAGGATTACCTAATATCTATGGGGCCCAAGGCCCTACTCACACAAATCACGGAGAGCCATTTTAGAGTAAGTGTGGGAAACTTCCTCTATCAGTGGCCACTGACATGTATTTATACATATTAAGAAAACATGTACTGAGGGACAGATTTTTGGAAGCATATTTTTTCTTTATGACAGAAATAGAAAATGTTTATCTACTTGGTAAATTATTGAAGCATTTTGTCCACTAGATGTCGGTATTGCGCTTGAAAAATAAACATGGTCTCGTGCTTTTATAACATAACATGTTATAAAATGAAAGTTAAATTTTTTAACGTTGGAATGGCATTTTTCTTTCTTTTTCTCTAACAGAAGAAGATCCCACCAGATGACCCAGACTGATCTTATTTCAAGATAATTTCCTTTAAAGAGAAATCAGGAAGGAATTTGTTATACACAATTTAGATCTGGAAGCATCCAAAGCCTGCTGAGGAATGACAGTTTCCAGTATAGAAAGTAACTTTAACATTTTCTGTTAGTTTGTTCATTCTGGGGGAAGAGTTCTTTCAACTTGTCCTTTAACTCTTCATGACCTGTGTCCTGTTTCCAACCAGGACCAACTTTCTTCTGAGGTTGGGAATTGGAACACCTTTCCAATATTCTTTCCTGCTTCCACATCCCAGCCCCTTCTGTGAGCCAAGTCCTCAAAACACATAGTATAATCCTGTTTCAATTGTAAAATTATAACCTAAGCATTTCTTTATTCATGGAATTAAAAGATAAGTCAGAATTTTTCTTTGTTTTCCTTTCCCCATTGTATTTACAAATGAAATGGAACCTACCAGCATATTGTTTTTTGAGCCCTCGAATATTTCTCTATCCCTGCAGTTATATTGAAATAGAACAGATGGAAGCACAGTAGGATCTGTCACATATGCTACACAGAGAGTCAAAAGGCTATCAGTGCTTTCCAAAACAAGCAAGAGAAAGAAAGAAAGGGGGGCAGAGGGTGCAGAGAACAGTGGCTATTCTTGATATATGTTAACTGGTACCACGTGGCTCATTAAACTGTTTTGAGAAGGAAGTTAAGCCCTGGAAAAGCCACTCTCTCCATAAATGCTACTTTTTTCTTTTTCTTTTTTAAGTAGGCTCCATACCCAGCATGGAGCCCAACGCAGGGCTTGAACTCATGGCCCTGAGATCAAGACTTGAGCTGAGATCGAGACCTAAGCTGAGATCAAGAGTTGGATGCTTAGCCAACTGAGCCACTCAGGGGATCCAAGTGCTAAATTTTCTAAGCACTATTTTATTTTGTTTTTTTTTTTTTTTTTAGATTTTATTTATTTATTTGAGAGAGAGAATGAGAGACAGAGAGCATGAGAGGGAGGAGGGTGAGAGGGAGAAGCAGACTCCCCGCTGAGCAGGGAGCCTGATGTGGGACTCGATCCCAGGACTCCAGGATCATGACCTGAGCTGAAGGCAGTCGCTTAACCAACTGAGCCACCCAGGCGCCCTCTAAGCACTATTTTAGTTGTATCTCACAAATTTTGTTATATTTTTATTATATTTAATTCAGAATACTAAAAAAGTTTCCACTGTGTTTTCTTCTTTCATCTGTGAAGTTTTTGGACATACTGTCCTCAATTTCCAAAAATTTGGGGATTTAAAACTTACCGTTCTGGGGCGCCTGGCTGACTCAGTCAGTAGAGCATGCAACTCTTGATCTCAGGGTCATAAATTCAAGCCCCACATTGGGCGTAAAGTTTACTTAAAATTTTTTTTTTAAGATTTTATTTATTTATTTGAGAGGGAGAGCACAGAGGGAGAGGGAGAAGGAGAAGCAGACTCCCCACTGAGCAGAGAGCCCAACGTGGGGCTCAGTCCCAGGACCCTGAGATCATGACCTAAGCCAAAGGCAGATGTTTAACTGACTTAGCCAGCCAGGTGCTCCCCGCTCCCCCCATTTTTTTTTTTTTAAGATTTTATTCATTCACTTGACAGAGAGAGAGATAGTGAGAGAGGGAACACAAGCAGGGGGAGTGGGAGAGGGAGAAGCAGGCTTCCTGCTGAGCAGGGAGCCCGATGTGGGGCTCAATCCCAGGACCCTGGGATCATGACCTGAGCCGAAGGCAGACACTTAATGACTGAGCCACCCAGGTGCCCCTATTTTTTTTTTAATTGTCTTTCTGTTCTTGATTTTCAGTTTAATTTCATTGTGGTTAGAGAAAATATTCGGGATGATGAAATCAATCCTTTATAATTTATGAAGACTTGCTTTATGGCCCTGCATATAGTCTATTATGGTAAGTGTTCTATGTATCCTTGAGAAAAATATATATTCTGCAGTAGTCAGAGGATGGTGTCTACACAGGCTGAATAGCTCAAGCTGATAAATTATGTTGTACATATCTTCTATACACTAATTTTTTGTCTGCTTGTTTTATTTGTTACTGAGAGATAGGGGTTGAAATCTCTATCTTTGTGGACTTATCTATATCTCTTTATAGTTCTGTCAATTTTTGCTTTGTATATTTTTTTGAAGCTATGTTAGATAATGTGCCTAAAGAGGCATCTAGCTGTTCAGTTGGAAGAGCATGCTACTCTTAATCTCAGGGTCATGAGTTTTTGTCCACGTGGGGTGTAGAGATTACTTCCATTAAAAAGAAAACTTAAAAAACATAATAATGTGGGGTGACTGCGTGGCTCAGTACTAAAATAAAAAAAGGTTACAAGTCCCGATGTTTATAGCAGCGATGTCCACAATAGCCAAACTGTGGAAAGAGCCAAGATGTCCATCGACAGATGAATGGATAAAGAAGATGTGGTATATATATACAATGGAGTATTATGTAGCCATCAAAAGGAATGAGATCTTGCCATTTGCAATGACGTGGATGGAACGGGAGGGTATTATGCTGAGTGAAATAAGTCAAACAGAGAAAAACATGTATCATATGATCTCACTGATACGAGGAATTCTTAATCGCAGGAAACAAACTGAGGGTTGCTAGAGTGGGGGGTGGGGTGGGAGGGATGGGGTGACTGGGTGATAGACACTGGGGAGGGTATGTGCTCTGGTAAGCGCTGTGAATTGTGCAAGACTGTTGAATCTCAGATCTGTACCTCTGAAACAAATAATGCAATATATGTTAAGGAAAAAAAAAGAAGAAGAAGAAGAAGAAGAAGAAGGTAGCAGGAGGGGAAGAATGAAGCGGGGGAAATCGGAGGGGTAGACGAACCATGAGAGATGATGGACTCTGAAAAACAAACTGAGGGTTCTAGAGGGGATGGGGGTGGGAGGATGGGTTAGCCTGGTGGTGGGTATTGAGGAGGGCACATTCTGCATGGAGCACTGGGTGTTATGCACAAACAATGAATCATGGAACACTACATCTAAAACTAATGATGTAATGTAGGGGATTAACATAAGAATAAAAAAAAAGGTTACAAGCCAATTATTTAAGTCTCCATATCAATGACCTATTTTAAAAAATAGCAAATTAAACTGAAAAAGATAGAAGGAAAGAAATAACTTAAGAGCAGAAATTAATGAATTGGAAGATAGGAATGCACTTGAAAAAAAATTAAAGCCAGGGGGCGCCTGGGTGGCTCAGTTGGTTAAGCGGCTCAGGTCATGATCCTGGAGTCCCTGTATCAAGTCCCGCATCGAGCTCCCTGCTCGGCAGGGAGTCTGCTTCTCCCTCTGACCCTCCCCCTCTCTCATGTGCTCTCTCTCATTCTCTCTCAAATAAATAAATAAAATCTTAAAAAAAAAAAAATTAAAGCCAAAAGTTTGTTCTTTGGAAAAATTAATAAAACTGATAAATCCCAGTAAAGCCAGTAACAAAAAGAAAAGCAAAAATTATCAATGACTGAAATAAAATTGGATATTTCTATAAATCTTATAGATATTGAAAGGACAATAAAATATGAATAACTGCATGTCAATAAAAGGTGACAGTTTAGATCAAAAGCACAAACTATTTGGTTAAAAACCTACTAAAACTGACACATAAACAAATTAAAAAGATGGATAGTCTTGGACGCCTGAGTGGCACAGTTGGTTGAGCGTGGGACTCTTGGTTTCAGCTCAGGTCATGATCTAAGGGTCGTGAGATTGAGCCCCAGGTCGGGCTCCATGCTGAGCTCAGAGTCTGCTTGGGATTCTCTCTCCCTCTCCCTCTGCCCTTCCCACTTGTGCTCTCTCTTTCTCTCTCTAAAACAAATAAATAAATCTTAAAAAAAAAAAAAGATGGATAGTGTTAGATACATAACAAAAACTAAAAGTTCAAATTGTAACACCTTCCCACCATGTGTGGACAGAGACAAGAAATATGAACAAGTCAAAGTAAGAGAGGTCTGACAACAGGCATGAGATTTAGGTCTTTAGGACTTTGGACTTACCCTTACTTGTAAGAACAGAGCAGAATAACTCAAGTCCTGGGAGAATAGAGCAAAGACATGTTAGTAGCTAAGATGTCACTTGAACTATTAGCGTTTCTTAAATTCCTCATAACAAAGGACAAAAGTGGTTCCTGGTCCTGGTGTGGGGCTGTTTTCCAGTGGGAGTGAATTAGCTCCAGCCATGTGATGAAGTTAAAACAAAGTGGGAAGAATCCACACTTGATGGTGTGCTTAGGTAGTGTTCAGGTCTACAAACAGATTTTTCTGTTTCTTATTTAACAATCTCAGCAGGCATGCACTGAAGTCTAAGAACTTTATGCATCTCAATGAACGTACCCTCGAATGTGTCCCTCACACAGGCAGGATCCTTGTGAAAGGTTCTTTTACCCCATATAAACTCTTGCTTTTGAGCAGCAATCTTGTTTCTACACCATAAACCATTTTGCTTAGGTGGTCTGACTACTTCTGGTGATCATTTCTTTCCCATCCTGTTCTTTGTGCCCCTGGATTGACAGTTCCTGACTACCTTTGTTTCCTTGGCGAAAACTTAGACTTTGGTTCCTCATTGTTCCCATGTCCATAAGATATAGGTCATCATCCCGACCCTTCTCTTTCCATCTTCATCTTCTCACAAGACCCTAACCCAGGCCAAATCTCCAGGCCTATTTTTGGCCCAAGAAGGGATTTTGAACATTTTGATTCTGCTTCACTCTGCCTTTTTTTTTTTTTAAAGAATTATTTATTTATTTTTTGGGGGGAGGAGTGGCAGAGGGAGAGAATCTTCCAAGCTGACTCCCCACTGAGCAAGGAGCCCCATGTGGAGCTCGATCTCACGACCCTGAGATCATGACCTGAGCCAAAACCAAGAGTGGGACACTTAACCAACTAAGCCACCCAGGCACCCCATGCTTCGCTCTGCCTTTTAAAAAGAGTTTCTGGAGTGCCTGGGTGGTTCAGTTGGTTAAGTGTCTGCCTTCAGCTTAGGTCATGATCTCAGGGTCCTGGGATCAAGTCTCACATCCGGCTCCCAGCTCAGTGGGGAGTCTGCTTCTCCCTCTGCCCCTCGCCTCTGCTCATGCTCGCTCAAATAAATAAATAAATAAATAATCTTTAAGAAAAGAAAAGAGTTTCTGTGTCTTGCTAGGTTCTCTCTATTGTTCTTTCAAATCCTGCTCTATAATGGAGAAATTATTTTCTAGTGTTTGTTTTTCTCCTAAAACTCTTGAATAGCAGATTATGTAATAAATAGAGCACTAGTAGCCTGGGTTCTCTTTCTGTCTCTCTTTCTTTCATAGGCATGTGTATGACCCCAGCTCCTTGGGTCTTGGTTTTATGATCTGTTACTTAGAAAGAATAATTTCTAATGCACCAGCTGTTAAGTTTCACATTGTGTGTTTTCTGCTCCCTGAAGGCAGCTGTCTGGCTGAGGTGCTTTTCGGGTAACTACAGAAAGTAGTTGAGCAGAGAGGCTAAGAACATGGAGCGCCGCACCGCCTAGTACAGTAGCCACTATGCAAACGGGGATACTGAGCACTTAGAATGAAGCATGACTGAGTGCTTAAACTGAAGTACAATTGAAGTACAAATTGAGATATCTTCTAAATTACAATCAGTGTAGTAAACCAATGCAATTAACCATATTAACAGACCAAAAAGGAAAAACCGTATGATAACCTCTCAATATATGTAAAAAAATTTAATAAAATCCAACATCCATTTCAGATTAAAAATAAGCTCTTAGCAAATTAGGTATAAAAGTTTTCTCAACCCGATAAAGAGCAGCTGCATAAAACATACAGCAATATACTTACTGGTATAAGAATGAATGTTTTTTCCTTAAGTTCCAAAACAAGGTAAGGATAGCTACTCTCACCAATCTTTTCAATCTTGTACTGAGAGTTCTAGCCAGTGCCTTAAGGCAAGAAAAGAAATAAAAGAACATTCAATTTGTAAAAGAAATGATGAAAACTGTCTTTAGACTCAGACAACATTATTATCCAAATAGAAAATCCTTTGG